CTCTTCTAACAATTCAAGAACCAAAAGCTTAAGGAGTTAGTGAGAAGGAGCAGGCCCAGAGGCAAAGTGTTAACATCTAATCTTGAAATATCAAAGAAAACTGATATTAAAAGTTCTCATTAGTGAATATGGCCGGTTATCTGAGCCATTTTTCACGAGGTGAAGTGCCCATTATTTGAGTGTAATGCCCAAAATGACAGAAGTACTCGTTGTTTATCACATACCAACAGTGCAACTTATTTCCTAAAATGAAGTAATTATGATACAACTGCTTCTAACAGAGCAGTGTTTTAGGAATGTTGTGCTTTTCTCCTGCAACTCGAAACCTCCACACTTATCACACCCAGTTTGAAAAATACCTGGCAGTGTTTTTCATCCTCAGCCAGACACCGGGACCCATGCCATATTTGCTTGTATGGATTCCCTTGGAGAACATGAGCTTTTACCCATTTAACATATCTTACGTAACTGTGTTGCCCACACAAACTCTCGACATACACTGATACAGGGACACAATGTAGTAACATATTCAGAAAATTCATCACATTTCCTCATTGTCATCCAGGTTCTTATGTCTTGTTCAGTAAATGTGATTCTTAGAATTTCTGTGTGTGAACAAGCTTTGCTGAGGGGGTTTCATCTTGGGGGATTTGCATGACTGATCCAAATGTCTTCCACTGTGCAGAGCTCATCACAGAATACAACCCAGCATGCTAGTGATCTTTTCTTCCTTCACGCAGTGCAGAGTGCTAGTGTATCAGACTTTTTCTGGCTTTCACCCATATAAAAGAGAATTTATTAGATCCTATCAAACTTTCTATTGAGAATTGAGCTGCATGCTGTGCATTGGTTACTTCACTGCATTAATCTGAATGTCTGTCCTGAGATTTTTGCATATTCACATTTCTGTATGTTTCTTCCTGTGAAAAAGAAATCTTTAGAGATAGTCTGTATATTTAATTGAACCTTGGAGTTTAATTCTATGAGTTTGAGTATGTCTTTCTCTCTGATGCACCATGTTTTGTCATGCAGAAGTATGTAATTGGCAAAACATTTCAATATAGAATTTGGAAATGAAAATCGGGGTAATTCTTTATTATATGTATAATCAAGCATTTGCTTAGGTTCATATGATTCTTCAGGCCAAATTCTGACCGTAGATGTGGTCCTGTATTCTGATACCTATCAGCAGATTCTCTGTAGGAATGTGGAACTTCAATTTAACCTCAGAGATCGGATTTCAGGATTTTTACATGGAAACCTGCTGAAGTCTCTGGCAATTCACCTACACAAGAGGTTAAGGGTTCCACTCTGGAACAAATCCATGTAAGTCAGTGCAGCTTCAGTCACTGACTTGAAAAATCTGTACGGATGTATGCTAGGTAAAAGTCTAACACCACATGCCTAGGTCACACCGTAGTACACTCTAAAGGTAAATGTTTTCCACTTTGTTCTTTAGATTTGTTAGCAGTGATCTTTTTAATATCTCATTTTTAACATTTTGCCTTCCTAGCAAAGTCTCTGATAGATTTTTACTATTAAATGTTGTAATATCAATTTCAAGTGAAGCTAGTAATATAATTTGGATTTCAGTATTCTCTGAAAATGATCATACCTGAAAAAAAAAGGTAGAAAAGTACTCCCATTTTAAGTCACTCTACCTCAAGACTGAGTTCAGAATTTGAATATCAAGTACCATTTGCTCCTTGGGGCCTCTGTTAGCTGGTGCAGTGAAACGCATGGGATGTGTTAGTTTAAAGCTTTGTGCAGAACTCCATTACAGTACACAAATGAGCATGTGTCTTCCCTCCTTTACTAGTATACTTTTTGCACTCCACTAGTGGACTTAAGAAGGAAAGTTATTACTATAGTTGATAACATCTGACTCTGGTTCTGTAGGAACTTTACAGTACTCAATGCAAACAAAGCAAAGGATGAAAATAAAAGAGAAGCAGAAGCTCACTGATTACTTCTATTTTAGTCTTAGACCTAATCCAAAGATAGAGTTTTTATCTTAAAAATCAATAATTCCCATTATTTGCTTGTAATGTACACAAATACATTATATCTATGTTCTTATAAAGTTATGCCTAAGTATCATTCAAAAAAAAAAAAAAAATGCCCTTAAGTTACAGAATAGTGTATATAGACATTGCCCCTGGTCAGAGGAGATAAAATCTAGTTGTTCAGAGACTTTCCAGTTGAATCAATCTCCACTCACAACTAAGAATTTCAGTTCACTCTCTTAGCAACTAACTCTGCCTGACATAATCTTACAACCCAGACACAGGATGTGTATATGGCACTGACATACATTCCATTTCTTATGGGAATTGTACTTACGGAAACACAACCTCATAGGAAATGCGTTACATTGCAGAACATTCATTACAGTATCAGGTAACATTCTGAAATCTGTATTCTTTTTCAGCTGTGGAGGGTATTTAGTGCCCTTGCCTCAGTGTTTTACGGCTACAATTCAATCGGTTATGAGTAGTATTTCAGTGATGAAGAGGAAAGAACCATCCTGATCTCCCTACACTGTCAGCTTTTCCTCTTTTCTCCTGGTAATCATTCCATGTACTAACTGATCTTCTCTGTGGCAGCCTGAAACATTTGGCTTACAATCTTCAAGAGGATGTGTTCCCTGCAACTGCAACTCTTTTGGTTCCAAGTCCTTCGACTGCGATGGAGATGGACAGTGTTATTGCCAGCCTGGAGTTTCAGGAAAGAAGTGTGACCGCTGTGCTCATGGATTTTACAACTTTGAAGAAGGAGGCTGTACTCGTATGTAAATTCTTTGCAGCCAATTGCAGATTTATTTATTTGTTTGTTTGTTTGTTTGTTCGTTTATTACTGGAATTTTAGTTTGGCTGGTTTTGGATTGCCTAACAAATTTTCCTGACAGATATGTATTTTCATAGACAACCTTGTAAATCAGTCAATTGGCAAGGATAGTGATTGGCAAGAAAAGGCCCAAGCAATTCCTGCTATTTTAAGGTCAGTTTATGGCTAAACTACCATATTTAGAAGAAACAGGAATGTCCTTTTCTCCAAGTACTTTCTGCCAAAAAAGTTTCTATGAAGTTCCTATAATTTAGTTATGGTAAGAGCATCATAGGAAGGCTGATTAATGTGCTTGCCAAATCACATCAACTTGAAGGGATGTGAAAGGAAAAAAAAAAAGAAAAAAAAATCCCTTTGGGATAAAAAGTTTTATCCCAAACCTTTTCACTGTCCTTACATGGTTGATCTTTTTTGATTGAATTTCTATACTGTAATATTTAGGATCTTGCTTACTTGTATACTTTTTGTGTACAACAAGATCTTCAGATAAAATTCTCTACTACGTCCCTTGTGTAAACACATGAAAAGTATGCTTTTCCGGATGCTAGAACTCTAGCATCAGACATAAATATTTCCAGCCACTTCTTTACATTTATGTCTGTCCTTTTGGACATTAGGTCAAACACAGAAATGAATGCTTCCTGTCTTTAAAGCAGTACAGACTGCTAGATCGAAAGAACCTAATCCATAGGTCTCTTTGCAGGGAAATATCCATCTTCACTAACAGAACTGTGTTTTTAAAGTCTCATAGACTTATTTAGCTGTGATCATGGCAGGCATGGATAGTTGTCTAGTGGGACTAGCTGCAGGGACACCAGAATGGCAATGGCTCCTCAGCATTCTTTGCTGATGGCAGAGTGCTATAAAGCCAACAGTATTGTTGCTATTATTCTTCAGGCAGAAGCTGTATTCTTTCCCGAAGCAGAAATTACCATGCCTAGCATCCTATTCCCCCTCCTTTCCCACCCATTATGGCAGCACAAGCAGCAAGCCTACCTCTCTGCCTTCTTTTTACTCCCTTTGCTTATGGAAGAAGCATTGAGGCCTCAAGACCGACATCTGTGCAGCAAAATTCAGTTTCACCTGCAGTGTTGATAAACCTTGAGCCAGGCTGGATTAAAGATCGTATTTGAAAACATTACTCGATGGTATTGTCTCCCATGGGAAGGAAGGGCTCAGAAAACGTTTACCGCCTTGAAAAGTTCAAACACATTGGCACCCTGGAAAAGGGAAAGGTTGGTTCACAGGCTTGCCGATGAGAGAGCTGGAAATAAAATGCACATGACAACTGCAGTCCTAAAGCCCTTAGAATATATATGGAGGGAAAAAATGCTATAGTTTATCTTCATGATTAGTCTCTTATTCTAACATTTCACAGTTTAAGAGCACATCACAATTGTGAAATACTACAAAATGTTGTTCATTTCATGCAGTTGGGGAAGGAAAATGAGAGAGCAATTAGCAAGATTTCACATTAAAATTTTAACTGCTCTCTTGGCAAACATGAAATGACAGAGTTTAAGGAACAGGGATGAAATGGGGAGATAGTGTAGATCTAAACAATATTTTAAATCAAAATGTATCTGCCTGTGGTCATCAAATATTTTAAACAACCACAACAGCAAAAGATGTTCAGAAAATTCAGACTTTTAGAAGTTCCAAAGTTAACACAACAGGTGGAGAGGAATTCTGTTTTCAAAATGCTGGTTTTTTCCCCACTTATTTTTAGTAGGCTTTTATGTATTCCTTCAAATTACAAAAAAAAAAAAAAAAAAAAAGAAAGAAAGAATTAAATTATGAATCACAGAGAAAATCAGAAATTTAATAAAAGTATATCAAATCATGCCAGGAAGAAAGTGCACAAAAATGAATTCCATAGTGACAGTTAAGTATCGAATAAAATATTGGACTTCTTTTATCTAGCATTTATCCAAAAGGAATATAATTTGATATTTTTCTTGTGCAATAAAAAACCATAAAGCCTAAAAAAAACACCCTAAAGCAGCATCAGTTAGTGTTGACATTCTAGCAGCAACGATACAAAAGAGATTTCTATTTCACTATTGCTTGCAACAAACGTGCTGTATTTTTTCCATATTCTTTTTAATAATGATAAAAGTAAAAATGCAAAAACTCTTGCTGTATTACTTTCTTCCCCTCCATGCCTTTTGAACCAATTTTGTGTGAGAAATGGAAGCCCATCGAAGACCTGTCACATCCGAAAGCCTCAGTCTCCCAATGAGACATGTATTCTGAAACATCTTCAAGCCACAGTGTGTCAAAAGATTTTATGTAGCATGCCAAACGTCTTGTTCCTGGCACGATGGAGGCAAAACTTACTGTCTTCTATGCATCAGTTAGTTACCTTTTTTTGAAAGCATTGATGAGGAAACATAAAGGTCACTTCTTATTTGAACTATAGATATGATTTCTATCTTTGCATATCTTTTATTATGTAGTTTTACTCTGAATGGAAGTATTTCATACATTAAAGGCAATGAACATAAATACAGCCCTCAGCAATGAGCATTATGTTATACTGCTCTATAAACACCCCAAGGAACAGATTATCACTGTCATAGTTTGCTTATGACACTTTTGCTGTGACCTCAGGGGTAATGTTGGTGGTGGGTATGAAAATAACCATGCACCAGTTCTACTCCTCTGAGAAATTAGGTGTCTTGTGCTCCATAACTAGTTATCACTTACATACCTTGAATCTGCATTTGCATGAGAAAAGGGAACCGAAACAGCTTTTTTGCCCTTTAAGAAGACTCTGCAGCAGCAGAAATTTCAGGTTGGCTCAGATTGGTGGAAGAGGTTAAATAAACTGCAGGTTCCCTGCGTAGAGGGCTCAGATGCATTCAGGTGGCTTCTTCCATGAGACAACATCGGCCCAGAAACTGTACAGCAGTATTACCGCAGCTATGTCACGTGAGTGCACCATCTCAGAAGTCTCTGCACTTCTACAGTCAGTGCCTTTATTTTTCCCACTCTGTTCTCATTGCAGTTACTTCAACCTCAGTTAACCTGTGTTGCATTGCTCCTGGTTTTGGTTTCTCTGGGTTTATCCTACCTTTCCTGCCCCACTGTGTCCTCAGATAACTGCGAGTTCACTGTATGGTAAAGGCTTTGGTGGAATGATCCTAACCTTCTTAGGGTCTGCTCTCCAGCTGTCACACAAAGAGGTAACTTTTCCTCTGCTTTGTTTTTTTCTGGCTCCCATGAAGCCTGTGAATGTTCACGTTTTGGTAATAACTGCGATCCCATCAGTGGCCGCTGTATCTGCCCTCCCAATACTGTTGGAGAGATGTGTGACAAGTGTGGACCAAATTACTGGGGCCATGATATTGTCACTGGCTGCAAGGTGAGTGGATCTCTATTGTCTCTGTGTCTGTTACCTCTTTCCCATGGGGTAAATACAATAATCCGTAGCTGGAACACAGTTTTATGTTTGTAAATCATAGTTTGTCTCTGTATTGCAAGTTTTGGGGTCAGACTGTGGTCTAAATGTTGGCGAGCTGTTAATGAGCACTACAGATCCTCTGTCTCAGGTGTGCAGCCTGTAACACCGAACCCTGTTTATACTGCTGTCATGCGGAGTCAGTGTC